CATAGTTTCAACTCATGAGGCTTAACTCATCAATTATCAATATTATATATATATATATATATATATATATATACTAGGTTCGATACCTGTATTACACGGGATAATTTGAAAAAATTAAATCATGTCAAGAACTTATCTTAGATATATGAATGATCATCGAAACTACAATGCTACTTCAGACTTGTACTCTAGAAATAACTCTGAAGTATAACTTTGAAAAATGACTCTTCAGACTTGAATTTAGAAATGAAACTATCAATAATTAGTTAAAATAAAGTTAACCCTAAATAAAATTAAATTTAGAAATGAAACTATATAAGTAAACTGAATTTAAACTTAGAACTAAATTTTGAATGACTCTTTAGACTTATACTCTTGAAATAACTCTAAAGAATGACTTCAGACTTATACTCTTGAAATAACCATGAAGTAAAACTCTTCAGACTTCATAGCTCTGTATAGACAAGCCAGAAGCCCTGCATACACTATCATGAGGCTCTGCATGCACTATGCAAAGAGTCTGCATGGTTGCTCCATCTAGAAAAGAAGACTTCAAAGTTCGGGTGAGCTAACTCTGAAGAATGACTCTTCAGACTTATACTCTAGAAATAACTCTGAAGTAAAACTCTGAAGAATGACTCTTCGGACTTGTACTCTAGAAATAACTCTGAAGTGTAAAATCAATCCCACTAAATTAGAGTTCAGACTTCTAAGTCTGGAAAAAAAGACTTTAGAGTTCGGGTGAGCTAAGTCTGAAAAAGAAGGCTTCAAAATTCGGGTGAGCTAACTCTGAAGAATGATTCTTTAGACTTGTACTCTTCAGACTTTTAGAAGACTTCAGAGTTCAAACTTATGAGTCTGAAAAAGAAGACTTCAGACTTCTTTTTCTAAGTCTAAAAAAAGACTTTAGCGTTCAGACTTTTAAGTCTGGAAAAAAAGACTTCAGAGTTCAGACTCTAGAGCTCGGGTGAGCTAAGTCTGGAAAAGAGGATTTCAGAGTTCGGGTGAGCTAACTCTTAAGAATGACTCTTCAGAGTTGTACTCTTGAAATAACTTTGAAGAATGACTTCAGACTTGTACTCTTGAAATAACTTTGAAGTAAAACTCTGAAAAATGACTTCAGACTTGTACTATTGAAATAACTCTAACGTATAACTCTGAAGAATAACTCTTCAGACTTGTACTCTTGAAATAACTCGAAAGTATAATTCTGAAGAATGACTTCAGACTTGTACTCTTGAAATAACCCTTAAGTAAAGCTCTTCAGACTTTAGAGCTCTGTATAAGCAAGCTAGAAGCTTTGCATGCACTATGCAAAGGTTATGCATGCTGCATTGTCTGGAAAAGAAGACTTCAGAGTTCAGCTGAACTAACTCTAAATAATGACTCTTCAGACTTGTACTATGGAAATAAGTTTAAAGTAAAACTCTGAATAATGACTTTTCAGACTTGTACTCTTGAAATAACTCTGAAGTATAAAATCAATCCCACTAAATCAGAGTTCAGACTTCTAAGTCTAAAAAAGGATTTCAGAGTTCGGGTGAGCTAAGTCTGAAAAAGAAGACTTCGGAATTCGGGTGAGCTAAATCTGAAGAAAGACTCTTCAGACTTGTACTCTTCAGACTTGTACTCTTCAGACTTGTAGAAGATTTCAGACTTCTGAGTCTGAAAAAGAAAAATTCAGACTTCTTTTTCTAAGTCTAAGAAAAAGACTTCAGTGTTCAGGCTTCTAAGTCTGAAAAACAAGACTTTAGAGTTTAGACTCCAGAGTTTGGGTGAATTATTTCAGAAAAAGCAAACTTCATAATTCGGGTGAGCTAACTCTGAAGAATGACTTCAAACTCTCTTGAAATAATTCTGAAGTAAAACTTTTTAGTAAATTGAATTTAGAATAAAATGAAGTTAACCTAAGAATAAAATTGAATTTAGAAATGAAATTATATCAGTAAATTGAATTTAAACTTAAAAGTAAACACCATTTTTTTGGGAATTAGTTAACACACGAATTAATTAACCCAAGAATAAAATCAATTGCATCCTAAACTAGTGAGATTGATTGAATAAGAGGACACATGTCGATCAAATGATTATGATAGAACTGTTAATGTAAATTATGTCTAGATACATTCAAATGAGTCTAATTGAACAACTAATATAAATTGTGTTTAGATACGTATTTAGGGGGAAAATAAGAAAACCGACTCACCAGAAGATGTCACATGTAATCCAAGTTACTTATTTATTATAAGTATGTATATATATATATATATAAGAAAACCCAAGAGATATTGAGGTGGCATCATGAGAATTGAGTATTGAGGTGCCTATCCCGCTTATTCATTAGGGCGAGCGGATGGTGAACCATGAATGAGTTTGAGATATTTCACATTGGTGAGAGATTGAAAGAATGAGATAAGGATGTGTGTATAAGAAATAAGATGAGATTTATTGTGTCAACTCAAGGGGCTTGACTCATAAGGTTATCTTATTTGGATGACCCTATTTTTGTAAAACAAATCTTATTATATAAGAACAAAAATGAAATGTTTATAATCACACACACACACACATACACACACACATACACACACACACACACATATATATATATATAATAAAAGAAGTACCAATTATTGAGGTGATAACATGAGAATTGAGTATTTAGATGTTGGTGAAAGGGTAAAAGATTATATATATTAAAGGAAAACCCAAGAGGTATTGAGGTGGCATCATGAGCATTGAGTATTGAGGTGTTGGTAAATTGTGGTTGAGTTTGAGATATCCCACATTGGTGGGAAATTGAAAGATTGGGATAAGGATATGTGTATAAGAAAGAAGATGAGATTCATTGTGTTAACTCAAGGGTTTGACTCATAAGGTTATCTTATTTGGATGACCCTATTTTTGCAAAAAAAAATCTTATTATATAGAAATAAAAATGAATTGTGTTTATAACCATATATATATATATATATATAATAAAAGAAGTACCTAGAAGTATTGAGATGATAACATATGAATTTAGTATTTAGATGTTGGTGAGGGTAAAATATTGGAATAAGGAAGTGCATATAAGAAAAAAAGATGAGATTTATCGTTTCAATTAATGAGGCTTGACTCATCAATCATCAATATATATATATATAGAGAGAGAGAGAGGTATACAACCCTTGACATTTGTGCAACCAATACAACCCAATTTCAACCGTCCATTTCATTTGATTAATATGTGATTTCATATAAGTTTTGATTGTTTCCTAATATAAAGTATTGATCATAATTAATGAACCATATTCATCTTCCATAAATATTCAAATCATAATAAATGAACTCTCATCATTTCCATAAATATCTCAATTTATTAGGTTGCATTGGTTGTACAAATGCGATGGGTTGTATTTGAAACGAACTCTCTCTCTTTCTCTCTCTCTCTCTCTCTATATATATATATATATAGATAAGAAGAACCAAGAGATATTGAGATGACATCATTAGAATTGAGTATTGAGGTGTTGGTGAATTATAATGGAGTTTGAGATATCACATATTGGTGAGAGAATGAGGATTGGGATAAGGAGGTGTGTATAAGAAACAAGGATACAATTCATTATGTCAACTCAAGGGACTTGACTCATAAGGTTATCTTATTTGGATATTAAGGTGACACCATGGGAATTGATGAATTATGGTTGAGTTTAAGATATCCCACATTGGTAAGATAAAATATTAAAATAATGAGTTATGTATAAAAAGAAGAATGAGATTTATTGTTTCAACTTATGAGGCTTGAGTCATTTGATCATGTTATTTCGATAACCCTGTTTTTGTAAAATAAATCTTATTATATAAAAATAAAATCAATATATATGGGCCTAATCAAACGAGAACTAATTAGTTTGTGATAACCGTGAGGTCCAATCTCAACCACAAATCAATAGATAAATTAGGAAATTTATAATTTTGGTAATTTTGAATTAAAATGTTAATGCAAAGACATTTTAGGCATTTTCTCTCCTTTCTCCTCTCTCCCTCTTCAATATACGTCCCCGGCCTCCGGCAACCGTCCTTCGGTGATACCACAGTGGTATCACAATTCATCTTATATATGTTTGGGTATCACACTGAGGTCATTTGTGCAGTCGATCAGATATGTAACACAATGGTACACAATGCATCTTATATGTGCTTGGGTATTACACTGTATCTTTTGTTTAACATAGTCAATATTTTTAGGCATCACAGTCGTATCACCAGAGGACGGTGGCCGGAGGCCGAGGATGGTGGTCGAAGCTGAAAGATGGAGGACGGGGGACGGAGAGAAGAGGGGGAGAGAGGAGAGAGGAGAGAAAATACCTAAAATGTCCTTGCATTAAAATTTTAATTCAAAATTACCAAAATTATAATTTTTCTTATTTATCTATTAATTTGTGGTTGAGATTGGATCTCACGGTTACCACAAACTAGTCTGTTCTCCTTTGAATGAGCTCATATCTATATTACTTTATAAAGCAAATTTGCCCAAAGTCTTAAAAACATCTTAACATGCATAAGGTACTACCCTTTAATGCAGAAAGTCTTAAAGTCTTAAAAATGTACAATTTTTTATGCATTTTCAATTTAAGTTACTACCCTTTAATGCATAAACACCTTCATCCGCCTCTAAACCTAAACCACTCCAAACACATCGCACGCTCTCCTCTTCCCAAGGCAACTCTGCCCAACGACCAACATCGTACGCTCTCCTCTTCCCATGCCGATTCAGTCTCCAAGGATCGCTCTATAGCACGCTCTCCATGATTCAGTCTTAAATGATCGCTCCTGTCATGATTTACCTATCAAAACACGAGGCGATTTTGTGGAGGTTTCAAGCTTCTAGGTAATTACTTCTATACTATCTGTTGTAGCATGTAAGGAAGTTGAGCTGAAGTTTGTTATTTTCTTAATGTCATTCTCTGTTCTTTTGCTTTGGCTTTTGTTACTATAACCAAGAAATTCTTTTAGGACAATCGCCCAAGGACTGATAAGGAGAAGGAAGAATTAGATCGAGCAATTGCACTTTCTTTGGCCGAAGGTTTGAAGAATCCAAATGGTAAGATGTTAGTAATTGAAAATTGGAATTCCTTTTTTGTAACTCTCATCCAATTCATTTTCAACCTTTATCTCTAGATTACAGAAAAAAACATTGTGTTTGAATCCGTTCAGGATATCAGTGGCAGCCAGACAATGATGAAGATCTTGCAAAATCACGTCAAGACGACCTTCATCCGTCATACCTTCCATATGTACCTAGCGAATGTCATCCCATGGGATATAGGTACTTATAAGTTATATCTATATCCCTGTGGTTTTTTCTGCAGTCGTGTTAAGCTGGACTGTCTTCCATTGCCTGTATTTCTAGAAAACGAAGGGTCAAATCATGATATAACTTTGATTGATCTTTATATACATATCCAACTTGCAGAGTATGTGGTGGCTGCAACCGCGACATTGATGCTTGTGGTTMTGTTATGGGGACCTTTTTTCATCCAKAGTGCTTCTGTTGTCRTGCTTGTGGTTACCCAATCACCGAACACGAGGTCATTTGTTCTGCTATTAGCCATCATGCCACCAAATGCATTTTATTTGATTTAAACTTATTTCTCATTTGATCCGTGACAAACTTATGTAATGTCAAATGATGTTGTTGAATCTCTTACTATTGCCAGCTCTTATTAGTTTTTTCTATTGATTTAAGTTCTCTTTATCAGGGAAAGATGCATACCATAAGTCATGTTTCAAAGAGTTGACTCATCCCAAATGTGAAGTCTTCTTTCAATTTGTAAGCAAAAACTATGCTTATGAAACCCCTTTTGTGCATTAACTAACTTTCAGCTATCTTGATTCTTAAAATAAGATTTGGAATGCTAAAAGATTACAGATGAACTGCATTAAGGCTGATATGATCTCTAGAAAGACTATTACTGGAAGCATGTGTAATATTATTATCTATGCTTTTCTAGATTCCCACGAACGGAACTGGGTTGATTGAGTATCGATGCCACCCATTTTGGTCCCAGAAATATTGTCCTGCACACGAGAATGATAATACACGAGAATGATATAGGTACTTATAAGTTATATCTATATCCCTGTGGTTTTTTCTGCAGTCGTGTTAAATCATCTGATAATATTTCATGGTCAGATGACAAATTGCAGTTTACTTTTCACCAATGGGAAAACATCCCTGCCAACGGCAAAGATCATGTGCATCTTACAAAGGAGCTCCTTGGAAGCTGTGATAGCATTGAATGGCAGGTATGTTTACTTTCGAAAATAAGACTAGGGTGGTTGTGCAAAAATAAGTTGAATACATACTCACAACAACTCTAAATGGGTGCTAACTAATTAACACCATCTCTTCTAAGCCTACGTTCATTCCTTTACTATCTATGGTTATTGATTGCACTTACCTGTTTCCATGTTTGATCTCTAGCCAATATTACACATTTATGGACCTTCCTCAGTGGAGTTTTTAGTGGTTCCAATATGATGATCATCATTGTTATTGGCCTATCATAAATGCATTTAGTTTTGTTTCCTGATAGGAAGGTAGATGAGTTAGAGAAGACAATTTCGGTTGCAGCAAGAGATCCTGCATGGTTTGGCATCAATGAAGTTGAGCTTGGAAAAAGAAGGAGATGGACCAGCATTACCCGGACTCAGGTTCTTTATGTACCTCATAAAAAGATTTTTGTCAAACCTACTTTGCTTTGCTTTTTACCATCATTGGTTGAATGTACATTTTCATGTTCCTTATCTTAAACACCTATATAATTCTGTTGAATTTCATTATTGGATCAGGTGGGAAATGTAAAGAAAGCAGTGGGTGGGAAAGACTTAAATGGCAAAAGCATTTCAAATAAGATCGGGGAACGCCGAGAATTGATGAGGGTACCACATTCTAAACAGCATGAGAGAACACCTCTGTATATTGCTGGAGAGAATGATGATTTCATCTCCTCTGAATCAGATAGACAAATGCTTCTCATAAAGTACATGAATTACCCACTTTTCCTTTCTTTTGGTTTTCACTTGCATGATTCTCTGTATATGTTATCTACACTTGTTGACATGGAATGGGTGGATT